ACGGACACTCAGTGTCAGGTTGCAAGCTGTGCACAGGTGTATGTCATTTAGTGATCACTCAAACCAGTTTAACCGCGGTGCAAATGAAGGAAGACTTACTCGGGAAATACCGAACGGAGTACAATCGTTTTTACCGCTTTCGTAATCATTTGGCTCTAAACAGTTACTACGTAGAAGATAATATTTTTCCTAAATCGCTACATTTTGACATCCCTTGTCAGACATTTGGAGCAAATGATCCAAAATTGAAAGAGCGGTGGAACAATAATATTTTGGAAACTAGACGAGAACTCTTACGGTGTGTCTATTATACAAACAGTAGAATCATCTGAATCAAAAACCCTAGAAATTAGGGATAAATTACTCAAAATGAATAAAGAGGACGAATTACTAAAGATAGAACGAGAGGAAAGCTTGAAATTAAAGGAGGTGATAGAGAACTCCTGGAATAAGGTTTTTCGTCTAGAAGAACGAGAAATGATCCCTCGTTCTACAACTACGCATGATTCGCCGAATCAGAATGAGTTACCCTCTTTGATGGTGGTAGACTCTGGCAAACCCGTGTATGATGAGGTATCAAACAAATATCAAAGTAAAACCAGTAATAGTAATTCTCGCTCACCTCCAACTTGCTATGGGTGCGGGAGTCTCGGTCACACTAAACGATTTTGTCGCGCTCGCTGTTCATCCTGTAAAGGTCGAAAACACCCTGAAGAATTTTGCTTGAACAAAAACAATTCTTCCCCAGTAAATAACGAACAAGGTAATGTATCGGTCTCTAGGGATCAAGCTATGTATGATCAACTAAAGGAAATAGCGGAAACACCTGACACTGTGACATCACTATTAGGTACAAAGCCAGAACATAAACAATTACCTCAAAGAATGAGAAATATGAAAACTCAAAGTAATCGTTTTAAACAGAGTTTCTACTCACGTCCATTTATCCGCCGCAACGTTTGGCGAAATAATTCTAATGAACCGAAATAATTCTACCTCTGCTAATCATGTAAGGAGGAACTAATTTATAACTAACAGAACTGTCACCTACGACACTGATACTGCTCCGATCGGGAGTAGTATGGGTTCCAATTGACTTTCTACTTTAGCACTCAGTGAATCATGCAGGTTGTCCGAGTTCGTCTTCAGTATAGACCGTGTGCATTTAGATACACATGAACTGAAAGTTTTACAACACACTTTCTACCGCATAAACTTGCGACGAGTTAAAGGTATTAGGCATACGCCATCCTTTAACATTAGGCTAAACTATCCGTAGGACCACTGGTCATTTTAGAAAATCAACAATTTCATACTATATCGGTAGTCATAACGTACAAAAAGAATGAATAACATGGTTAAAGTTGGGTCTCACTAGCTCAGCGGTTAGAGCTTTGGTACGGTTTACCAAGGTCCTGGCTTCGATTCCCAGTTGAGACCATGTTTTTCATTACCTTGTGATATAGAGTCTCGCTCTCAGAAAATATACACACTTTCTACCGGATAAACTTGCGACAAGTTAAAGGTTTTAGGCATACGCTATCGTTTAACATTAGGCTAAACTATCCGTAGGATCACTGGTCATTATAGAAAATGGCAAATTGGTAAGCTACCAAGCTTCTAGGCTGCCAAACGACCATAGTGCTATATCAGCCTACCAAGCTACCAAGCAACCAAACGACCATACTACCATATCAGGGTACCAAGCTGCCAAGCTACCAACCGGCCGTACTACCACATCAGGATAGCAAGCTACCAAGCTGCCAAGCTACCGAACGACCATACTACCATATCAGCCTACGAAACTACCAAGCTTCCAAACGACAATACTACGGTATCGGTCTACCAAGCTACGAAGCAACCAAACGACCATACTACCATATCAGCCTACGAAACTACCAAGCTTCCAAACGACAATACTACGGTATCGGTCTACCAAGCTACCAAGCAACCAAAGGACCGTGCTACCATATCAGGGTACCAAGCTACCAAGCAACCAAACGACCATTCTACCATATCAGGGTACCAAGCTACTAAGCTGCGAAGCTACCAAACGGCCATACTACCATATCAGCCTACCAAGCTACCAAGCTACCAAGCTACCAAGCTACCAGACGACCATACTACCCTATCAGCCTACCAGGCTACCAGACTACCATACCACCCTACCAAGCTACCAAACGTCCATACTACCATATCAGCCTACCAAGCCACCAAGCTACCAGAAGACCATACTACTATATCAGCCTACCAGGCTACCAGACTACCATACCATCGTACCAAGCTGCCAAGCTACCAAACGACCATACTACCATATCAGCGTTGCAAGCTACCAAGGTGCGAAGCTAGCAGACGACCATACTACCATATAAGGGTACCAAGCTGCCAAGCTACCAAGCAACCATACTACCATACCAGCCTACCAAGCTACCAAACGACCATACTACCATATCAGCCTACGAAGCTGCCAAGCTTCCAAACGACAGTAGCACGGTATCGGTCTACCAAGCTACCAAAGGACCATGCTACCATATCAGGGTGCCAAGCTACCAAGCTGCCAAAGCAACCAAACGACCATACTACCATATCAGGGTACCAAGCTACGGAGCTACCAAGCAACCAAGCGACCATACTACCATATCAGCCTACCAAGCTACCAAGCTACCAAACGACCATACTACCATATCAGGCTACCGAGCAACCATACTACCGTATCAGCCTACGAAGCTAGCAAACTTCCGAACGACAATACTACCGTATCGGCCTCCCAAGCTACCAAGCTTCCAATTTGGCAAAGGACGATACTACCATATCAGGCTACATGGAGACGAACCTAACACAGGACCAACACTCTCTTTGATTACGTTAAAGGTGGTTCCGCCGCGGAGGGGAATTGTCCATGACATCGGTGTAGAAAGTATCACATGTCTCGCAATCTGGGCCATGACTTTCACATGACTAATGGTATGTATGTCCGTCACACTTCCACATGACTATAGGTATATGTGTCCGCCACACTACAGATGACTATGTGTATGTACGTCCGTCACACTGCCACATTACTATGGGTGTGTATGTCCGTCACACTTCCACATGACTATTGGTATATATGTCCGTCACACTTCCACATGACTATAGGTATATGTGTCCGCCACACTACAGATGACTATGTGTATGTACGTCCGTCACACCGCCACATGACTATAGGTATGTATGTCCGCCACACTACAGATGACTATGTGTATGTACATCCGACATGAGAGTCTTATTGTCACATGTCTCGCAATCTAGGCCATTTTCGGTTCTATAATTCATGCACCACAGATTCTAGAAGAAGTCCAATTTTGTGTACAAAATAGCCGGCAGTTACACAGAAAATCATCAATTCTCGACTATTGAATGATCAAGCTATACGATCACTGACATATATGTAAGAACATTCTGATTGTCGGTTATTCGATGATCAGCCGAACACGAATCCATCTTCTTCTTTTTCAAGATGTGCAACTGTGTTGATCTATCTGTACGCGTGTCGCTACTACAACTGGCATTCTTGTAGAGTTCCTCGCTGCTTGAGACACCACGAGCGCTTTCGACCTTTCTCAAGGGTCTCATCAGGTGGCAAGTACGCCATCCACAGCCATAAACAACATTCGAAATGATATTCTTCGAAACTGGTCTAGACTGGAGACTGGTCGAGAGTAGAATCCCACTTAGGTCTCGAGTTCGAGTATGGCTTATTGAGATCTGGTGTTATTAAGTCACCAGGTCAGTCGGTTTGTAGAAACAATATACAGTTGAGCGGGTTAGTCCCTTATCTAACTCAGAGGTGTACAACTGGTTTATCAATCCCCCGATTGCCCGATATTCATGTCTCCGTTCACAGACTCTTCGCTCTTAACCCAATCGGGTCCATAATATGACATCTCATAGCCTGTTGATTTTCCCGGTGGAAATGTATGACTATATGTATGAACATCACAAGTATATCCTAAAAAGAGTACAACAATCTTTTGTGGTGTAATAGTGTGGTGTAGAAAGAGAATAACCCTTCCCAAATGGTGAAACCACCTAACCACAACTTTCTTGAATTCTTATCAAACTAGGTAATAAGTGGCATTAAGCCCTACAGGAAGTTTCCCATAAGCTATGAGAGTCTCATTATCACATGTCTCGAAATCTGTGGCGACATGACTGTGTGTATGTACGTCCGTCCGACTGCCAGATAACTGTATGTATGAACGTCCCTCACAGGGCCACATGACTGAATGTATGTACGGCCGCCACGCTCCCACATGGCTGTGTGTGTGTACGTCCGTCACACTCCCACATGGCTGTGTGTAGGTGTTACATGATTCGCTGTCGTCAGACATCATGTAAGACTTGAGATGTTATTGCGTAATCAGTGGTGATTGCGTAATCAGTTATTATTGCATAATCAGTTATTATTTGTTATTTCCTAATCATTTCTTATTGCGTAATTATCTATTGCATAATAGTTACGCCACATCTGCACTATATAAGCTCTCAATTCCTTGGGAGTTGACAATTCATTTTCGAAATAAACTACTACGAAACACACTTGGACTTAGTTATCAGTAAAACCGGGGCTATCAGGTGGTGCGTTAGCCGGCTTACTGTCAATCACACATTACAGTAAGTAGACGAACAATAGTAGTGAATTTCAAGCAAGTCTCGAATCCAATATATGAATCGTGATTGTGTGGCCAGCAGAACCGGATCAAAAAACAATCTTCACCGGTCACAATCTAGCAACAGCACTTTTGAAGTAGAAGAAGAGGAATCGCAGGATCCAATAGCAAACAATTCGACCATCGCAAGCAACAGCAACTCAGTAAGTTTTGTACAAACGTCGATAAAAATGGCAGATTTTGCAGAGCAATCGATGATAGCAAAAATCACAAAGGAACTCCCAACGTTTTCCGGTGCAGTTGGTGAAGATTCACACAAGTGGATCAACATAATCAAATCAAAATGATATGCTGGGATTTGACAATGGACAATACCGACGATGTATTCCTCAACAACTGCTTGGTGAAGTTCAAGATTGGTATTTGGCACAACCGACAAATTCCAGTGATTGTGATTGGGCCTCGTTCCAAGCAACCTTCTGCCTCAGATATCCACAACAACGACATCAAACCAATTCAATATTAATTCTTCAACAGCTAAAAGACCGAAAACAACATACAACTGAACCATTTCTTAATTATTATAATGATATAATGAAACTATGCAAAGAATATGATGCACAGATATCTGATAGTCAATGTCTGGATCATTTAAAAATTGGTATGAAAGTCACATTGCTGGAAAAAGTCATCTCAAATGATATTAAACAGCCTCAAGAGCTACTGATCCAAGTGCAACAAATTGAATTAAATCAGAAAATCATTGATTTACGAATGAGTGAAGGAGAGACAACCTCACCTTCCGTTCTGGTCTCTCAACACCAACAGCAATCTTCGTACCAACGTCCTTATCCTCAGCAGGACTATTCCTACAATCAGAATTATTCGCCCCCGCGTCAGCAACGTCCACAATACTATTTCTCACCTAAACGTTTGTCCTACAATGATTATTATCCACAACAATTAAATTATTCCTTGGTATCGTACAATCGCACACAACACCAGCAACCTTACTCACCAACTCCATCCACAAATAGCATTAGATGTTTTCGCTGTAGTGGATATGGACATTATTCTAGTGAGTGTCCAACTCAAAAAAACTTCCAGTAGAAGCACAGAATGGGAGTACTTCTTACAATATCGAAAATCCATCACTAATATTTGTCAACATTCTAGTAAATAACAAGAAAATTAATACAATGATCGATACCGGTGCCACCAGATCCATTATCACTAAGCAAACCCTTAATCAGCTCCATCATTCAAAAATTCAACCAACAAACATTCAAGCTAAGCTCGGAGATAACAAAACCAAATTAAATATTTATGGAGAAGTGCTGCTTTCTGTTACACAGTGGACATTTTTTGCTTGAGCAGGCGGACTTTAGCTTTATGAGCGAAATAAAATTTCATGAACCATTTTTTTATAGGTTTTTCATGATCCTCTTTCGAATGGCATGAGAGTTAGCTTTTGAA